CTGCTGAAAGTACTGATTCTTTCTCAAGAAGGGCAGATTTTACAGATACTTTAGATCTACAGTTTAAAGATCGACCACACCCTCAGTTTTTTGTCCACTTTGGATTTAAAAGACTTTCCAACATTTAGGTAGTGTTGGAGAGATGTTGTAGACATGATGGTCTTGTCTAAGAGTACTCCAACCCTACAGTTGCTCCAATAAAAGACATCACCCACAAAAAACCTTGCCCTTTCCAACATTTATTTATTTTTTAGTTAAAGAGGAGAAAGCACAATACCTGTAACCACCATGATGGTACTCATTTCTTTCACAAGATAGAGATTGGGAGTAAGCACAACACTAACACATACATATACATCCGTATCATTTTGCTGTAGCTCTTGCAGAGTTATTGTCCTGTTCTTTGGTGGACCTGAGTACTCAATGCGATTGGTGAATGCAGAAGAGATGATTGCATTTCCATTACTTGGAATATAAATCACTTTCTTGGGATCTACATATTGTCTCATCAAGTAGACCGCTACATCCTTCCCCTTAGTTTCTGTCACACACGTTATATTGACGGAGTCTCCTTTCTGGCCACTGATAGGGGCTTCCAACTTTTCAGTAATTTTATTGTGATCTAAAACCAAAAAATCCAAAGACAATTACATTGATGGAGTTTAGCTATGTTTAATGCCCATTCAGAAGTAGTGTGACACCCCCCAACCATACAAAAATGACAACTACAAACTTCTAAACATTTACAGCTTGTATGAAGCACTGAAGCCAGTAGAGATTCTCTTCAAGGCTTCTGGAATTTAAACAGACTTGCAGGGATGTCTCAGCTCAGCAGCGAGGCCTCTTCAGTGTCCCTCCCCAAAACCTAACATAGGAAGGTTGGGCCTGTGACTTAGTCATTTTTGGCTTCACCAACACCTCTCCCTGGGCTTTGAGTTATATTACAGCCTTAGAGCTTTTCTATACAGAAGTACTTTAGAAAATTAAAACAAATTATGTAAAGCTATGAAGCTAATGTGCTTAGGTTAAGGCATATTAGACTCCTCTCTGGATATTCCCATTCACCAGTAAACTAGCCTCAGTTCCGCCTAGGCAAATTAAGCTACTATGAACTAAGGCACACGTATGTCTGAAAGACATCACCAGTGCATTCACTTCATGCAATTATATCAATAAGGATATGGAAAAGAGACCAAGAAAAAAGAGATACAGAATTAATTTAGAATATTTAGATAAACTGGATGTACTCTAGAGTGTATCTGAATACATCAAGTTGGCAGGGGCTGATGAAATACACCCTAGAGTACCTGAGATACAACTAGTTGAAACAATCTCTGAACCATTAGTGATTAGCTTGGAGAACTCAGGGAAGACAGTGTAGGTCCAAGAAGAAAGAGGACACACATAGTACCTGTTTTATAAAATGGGGAAACAGTGGAGCATGGACAGTCAACATAACTTTGATTCTTAGAAACATATTAAAACAATTTGTTAAATAATCAATTGATAAGCACTCGTAGGAAAACAACACGATAAAAAACAGCCAAAATTAAGTAACAAAGTCCAAAATATATCAAACCAAAATAATGTCCTTTGACAGGGTAACTAACTTAATGGATTAGAAAGAAACTGTAGACATAATGTACTTTGACTCTCACAAAGACTTTTGACGCTGTGCCACATGACATTCTCATTCATAAATTAGAGAAATACTGTCTGGCTTACCATGCAGATGCACAACTCCTTGGACAACAAAAAAAATCTCAATAGGAGTATTATCAATGTTTGCTCTCAAGTGAGGTCACACAAGTTTCTTCCATGTGCCCAGTCCTAGTCAGTACTTTCACTGATGATGGATATGATAGACTAGAGACTACCCTTATTAAATCAGTGCATGACACCATGGCTAGGTACAGACATTCAAAAAGCCCAAAGTTGAATTGATCTAAGTTATGCAGTTTTCTGTAAGGGGCATAGTTTACATCGGCAGCAAACAGAACACACATTTGCTCTTTGGTGTGTGAGGCAGGGGAAATAGTAGACCAGGTTCATCCATTTTTAAATCAGTCTCTGTGTGCTGAACCTCTGTTCTGTTATAGGTATAGACTAATTTCCAATCATTTATACTAGTAAACGTGTAATGTCTGTACCTGGCCCAAGGTAGGAGCAGTTTCAAACACTTTGGAGGACTAGAGCAAAATCCAAAATGATGCTGAAAAACTGGAGAAATAGTCTGAAATCAACAAGATGTAATTTAAAAAATGGGCATTTAAATAATACTACTAGGTGTGAGAATGGAGAATGAAGAATGACTGGTGAGGCAGCCATTTAGAAAGGGGCCTAGGAAGTTATAAGTCAACAATATGAAGCTGTTGAAAAAAAAAAAAGGAAAATCTCCTGCTAGGACGTATCAACAAGAGCGTTGTATGTCAGATACAGGCGGTAGTTATTCTGGTCTATGTGGTGATGAGGAAAAGAGAATTATATCGTTTTGTACATTGCCCATTAAGAAACCTGTAGACAAGATAGAGAGCTTACAGGCAAGCAGCAAAACTGATGAAAGGTTTAGAAAACCTGACACACATGAGGAAAGACTGAAGGGCTTGGCTTGATGTCATTTAGCAAAGAAAAGACTAAATGGGAATGATGGGCATGATGATGGGCTAGATGAATAATTGATCTGACCCATCATGTCACTTTTTAGGTTTGATTATCTATGGAAATTGTATTGTACTTCTGCTGTTTTTGACAAATACTGGGTTGAAAAGCTTCCAGCAGAAACAAGCTGCTGGTATTTTAACCACAGTTTCATCTATATCTCCAGAGGGGACCTGTAGTTAAAAGCTTCCAAGTAGGATGCTCTTTTATGAGTGTATGCAGGACCTCTCCTTTCAAGAAGCGCTTAAATACAAAACACAACACAACCAGAGAAAGTAATAAAGACTACATGCTGTACTGGCTGGGCTCTCTCTCTTTTTTATGCTTGAATGCTGAGCATGGTATCAGGTAATTGAGTTGACTCCCACAGTTACCAAGGATCTTGAAAACAAAAGGAAAGATAAACAATGCACTATAGTGAGGAACCAACTAGTGATACAAAGAATGAGATATCACATATGTAAGACCTGCAAAACAGCAAAAGTGATTTGCACCAAATATAAAGTCATACAAAGGGAGAGGTGAGAGTCACTGCTGCCCTTGATACTTTCTAAGGCAGATCTATAACAACAAACCCAGCACGGGTTTGTTGCGGGTAGGTCTTGCTTGACCAATCTCATTTCCTTCTACAACCAGGTGACCTATCACCTGGACAAGGGAGAAGAGATTGATGTCATATATCTTGACTTCAAAAAAGCCTTCGATCTGGTGTCCCATGATCACCTCTTGGAGAAACTGGCCAATTGTCGCCTTGGGTCCTCCATGATCCACTGGCTGGAAAATTGGCTCTGGGGTCGGACCCAGAGGGTAGTAATCGATGGAAGTCACTCATCGTGGTGTCCTGTGACCAGTGGGGTCCCCCAAGGCTCTGTCCTTGGACCCATACTGTTCAACATCTTCATTAATGATGTGGACACTGGAGTCAGAAGCGGACTGGCCAAGTTCGCTGATGACACCAAACTTTGGGGCAAAGCATCCACACCAGAAGACAGGCGGGTGATCCAGGCTGACCTGGACAGGCTCAGCAAGTGGGCGGACGAGAATCTGATGGTGTTCAACGCCGATAAATGCAAGGTTCTCCACCTTGGGAAAAAAAACCCGCAGCATCCTTATAGGCTCGGCAGTGCTATGTTGGCTAGCACTATGGAAGAAAGGGACTTGGGGGTCATCATTGACCACAAGATGAACATAAGCCTGCAATGCGATGCGGTGGCTAGTAAAGCGACCAAAACGCTGGCTTGCATCCATAGATGCTTCTCAAGCAAATCCCCGGACGTCATTCTCCCCCTGCACTCGGCCTTAGTGAGGCCGCAGCTGGAGTACTGTGTCCAGTTTTGGGCTCCACAATTCAAAAAGGATGTGGAGAAGCTTGAGAGAGTCCAGAGAAGAGCCACGCGCATGATCAGAGGTCAGGGAAGCAGACCCTACAATGACAGGCTGAGAGCCCTGGGGCTCTTTAGCCTGAAAAAGCGCAGGCTCAGGGGCGATCTGATGGCCACCTACAAGTTTATCAGGGGTGACCACCAGCATCTGGGGGAACGTTTGTTCACCAGAGCGCCCCAAGGAATGATGAGGTCGAATGGTCACAAACTACTTCAAGATCGTTTCAGGCTGGACATAAGGAAGAATTTCTTTACTGTCCGAGCCCCCAAGGTCTGGAACAGCCTGCCACCGGAGGTGGTTCAAGCGCCTTCATTGAACACCTTCAAGATGAATCTGGATGCTTATCTTGCTGGGATCCTATGACCCCAGCTGACTTCCTGCCCTTTGGGCGGGGGGCTGGACTCGATGATCTTCCAAGGTCCCTTCCAGCCCTGATGTCTATGAAATCTATGAAATCTATAACTGCAAACACACATAGCTGGCCTTGTCACCCATCAGAGTCCCTTAGCTTTGGGGGATGGGGGAATTCTCCCCTCTATACATCGAGAGAGGAACTTTCTAAAAGTCAGCAGGAGATTTAATCGGCCCTTAACTGTGTAATAGCCAAACCAATGGTCCTAATCCCTGTATTCGCCAAATGTTCTCTCTCATTCTGGGTATCCCTGTCCTCAGAATCTGAGAGCTGCCTGGAACAAGGCACTACAAAGTTTTGAGTCACCTCTCCATGACAGATCAGCACTGGATGATTAGGTGTATGTATGTGTTGGGGCGGGGGAGGGGGGAGGAATGGAGTTATCCCTTTTTCATTTCTCCCATGATCGTTCCAAGTACCAACAACAAACCGCGACAACTTAACCATCTGCCAGACTCTCCATTTTGTGCCCATTTTCAAGTTAATTAATTTGTATTTAACTTCATTTCTTTGTTTCTCATAGATACAACAGGAAAAAAGCAGAGTACCTGTAACTATTACTAAGGTTCCCGTTCCCTTCCCAGTTTGGAAGTTAGCGTCGTGCATGAGACCGAGGCAGTAGTATAAATCTGAATCGTTTTGCCGTAGCTGCTGCAGGGTTATTGTCAAGTTCTTTGTTGGGCCTGAGGTCTCAATACGACTGACGAAGTTGTCAAAGGTGTTTTTATTTCCATCCTTTGGAACATAAACCACTTTGTTGTCTGCTGCATGAAGCCTCATCAAGTAAACCCCTTCTTCTTCGCCATCGGTTTTTAACAAGCAAGTTATCTTGATGGAATCTCCTTCAGGGACACGGATAAAGGCTGGTGACTGTTCAATAATTGCCTTCTTTGCATCTAAAAACAGGAAATTCAATTAAATGCATATCCCTGAAGATTTTCTGTCTTCAGTGCCCTTCCAAAGTCGGCATGGCACATCCCATTCATATAAACCAACAAGCACCATACTCCTAAAAGCTCATAGCCTGCATGAAGTTCTGCAGCCAATACAGACGCTCTGGGAGGCTCCAGGAATTTAGACAGAATTGTAGCTCTGTCTAGGTTCAGCCAGGAGATCTCTTCAGTATAACCCCCACCCTGTGTCCCTCCCTCTCCTCCCTCCCCCACCATTTAACAATTTAGGATTGGGAGAGTGTGATTGACTTAAAACCATCTTGGTTATCGCCAGCCTCCATATCTCCATGGCTGCTAGTACTGTGTTATGACCCTACAGCCTGTCTATACAATGATATACTGCAAAGCCAAAACAAATGAACTAAAGCTACGAGGCCAATTTAAGGCAGTTTTACCCCCAGAGATGGATGTTTTTATTCACAGCCAAAGTGGTCTTCCTCCATGAAGTATGAGAGCGCCTGTATGGGGATTTAATAGCCTTTAACTTCACAACTTTAGTCAAGTCATATTATATTTAACTGTTCTTAGAAAAGCACCAAAGGATCTCCTGTAAATCTCAGACCACTCCCTAATTTGCCCTATAACCTTTCTTTAGTTCACGCCACATCTCTGTGCCTCAGTTTTTCTACTACAGTCCTATACATATTTCATAAATAATAACCTGTTTTGCGCATTTTCTCACTGGCTTTCTCTGCTTTGGGGACTGACTGCAGGTCTGTGAACTGTTTTGTCTGACTGGGGACTTTCTTCAGTGAATTTCAGCAAAGAATGCAAGATGGTACCAACTTCCTCCAGCTCAATGCAGTAATGAGGAAACACGTAATTTAGAAATGAAACTGTTAAGCAAAAAATTAAAAGGCTCTATGGCAGCATAAAAAGTTGGAGGAAAATACAGGAAAGCCTAGCTCTATTATTTAGTAGAGAAGGAAAACAAATAATCAATGACAGAGAGAAGGCTCAAGTATTAAATCCATTTTTTTGATTCAGACTTCAAAAATGAGGTTAATTGTGACTAGGCCTGTGCAAGTAGGCAGTGATCCAATCCGGCTTTGGATCTGGCTGCTTTGGATGGTCGCGATCCGATCTGGAGCTCCAGACCGGGTTTCCGCCTCGATCCGGCCATAGGGTATAATGGAGAATCGATGAAATATCTATAACTTTGTTGGTTCAGGCTGGACATCAGGAGACATTACTTTACAGTTAGGGCTGCCAGGCTCTGGAATGGGCTCCCAAAGGAGGTGGTGCTCTCTCCTACCTTGGGGGTCTTCAAGGAGGAGGCTGGACAGGTATTTGGCTGGGGTGATATGACCCTGGCACCAGTTCCTTCCCAGAGCAGGGGGTTAGACCTGATGATCTGTTTAGGTCCCTTCCAACCCTAAGCACTATGATACTATGATAAGGTCACACTGCACTTTATCAAAACCTTATTAAAATGCAGTACACTGTGTCCACTGCATTCACTTCATCCCTTTGATTCGATCTCCCACAACATTCTCGCAAGCAAGCTAAGAAAGTATGGGTTAGATGAATGGACTGTAAGGTGAATTGAAAACGAGCTGGAACATTGGGCTCAGAGGGTAGTAATAAACGGTTCCGTGTCTAATCAGCAGACACTATCAAGTGGAGTGCCTAAGGGTCAGTCCTGGGGCCAGTTTTGTTCAATATCTTCATCAACAACCTGGAAGATGGCATAGAGTGCACCCTCAGGAAGTTTGTGGATGATACCTAGCTGGGAGGAGGAGTAGAGACACTGGAGGGTAGGGCTAGTATTCAGAGAGACCCAGACAAATTGGAAGATTGGACCGAAAGAAATTTCATGAGGTTCAATAAGGACAAGTGCAAAGTCCTTCACTTAGAGTGGAACAATCCCATGCACCGGTACAGGCTGGGAGCTGACTGACTAAGCAGCAGCTCTGCAGAAAATTACCTGGGGATTACAGGGGACTATAAATGGAATATATGCCAACAGTGTGCCCTTGTTGCCAAGAATGCTAATGGTACAGTGTGCTGCATTAGTAGGAGCGTTGCCAGCAGATCCAAGAAAGTGATTATTTCTCTCTATTCAGCACTGGTGAAGCCACATCTGGAGTACTGTGTCCAGTTTTGGGACCCCCATTACAGAAAGGATGTGGCCAAATTGGAGAGAGTCCAGGGGAGGGCAATAAAAATGGTTAGAAGGCTGGGAAATATGTTTTATGTGGAGAAACTACTGGGCTTAGTCTGGAGAAGAGAAAACTGAAGGGGGGATTTAATAGCAGCCTTCATATATCTGAAGGGTGGTTCCAAAGAAGATGGAGCTAGAAGTGGTGGCAGATGACAGAACAAGGAGCAATGGTCTGAAGTTGCAGCAAGGGAAGTTTAGGTCAGATATTAGGAAAAACTCTCTCATGAGGGGAGTAGTAAAACACTGGAACAGGCTACCCAGAGAGGTGGTGGAATCTCCATCCTTACAAGTTTTTAAGACCTGGGTAGACAAAGTCCTGGCTGGGATGATCTAGCTGGGGATGGTCCTGCTTTCAGCAGGGCCTTTGACTAGATGACTCCTGAGGTCCCTTCCAGCCCTAACTTTCTATGATTCTATGATTCATTCACCCAACTAGATGATTTGTCTAAGGAGGAGATCCAGTTGCTTTGGCATGATTTGTTCTTAACAAATTTATGCTGGATGCTTGTGATCTCCTCCAGACATTCACAAATCATATTCTTTATAAGTTACTCCAGTAACTTTCTGGGTATTGAAGTCAGGCTAAATGGCCTATAATTCTCTGTCTTTCTTTTTCCCTGTTTTAAAGATAAGATTTATGCTGGCTTATTTGACCACTGCTATCTGACACAATCAGTTTATGGTGTAGAGATGTACCTGTTTATTCTAAAGGGGAGTAATATTCCTGTGTGCTGTTAAACAGCTGCCTTACTCCACATCACAGGTTGATGCATTTTGAGATGCGTGACATGATACCTAAACCAGACTCTGACTTAGAGAGGCATTTCCAAATCTTGCTTTTCCTAATGTGGAGCTTGGTAAAATTCAGCTGCCCATTTCTCCATAACTATTAGGAAGCTGCAGGGAGCAGGGTCAAAGGGGAGGAGGAAAAGAAAAAGCTTTTAGTTTTTTGCACTGTTCAGAAGCCACATTATGGCAAGCTCAGTTTATGGCAATCAGTTGCAAATGAGGCATTTCGGGCTTCCTAGTGCTTTTGGAACCAAGATATGTAACTAAACAGCCACATTCAGTAGTTTTGATTTGTTTTAACATGTGATCCCTCAACTCAAATTGAAACTCAAGGAATGAGAGTGTGGAACAAACTAGGACGGAGATGTGCAAACATCAATATAGCAAAACCTACCAACAAACCACTTCTAATTAAACCTTTGTAATTTCTCACAGCTCATCTTAATAATCCTATGTGATGATTCACTCCAGAACCAGACACATGTCTACAGCAAACAGATTCTCTAGAGATCTTGCAATCTCTTCTTCTAAAGAAAGAAAATGTACTTTAAAATGTTTCTTTGACATATGGACAGACTTTGGCTTTTGTCTTGGCTTATTCACCCTCATGTACATACGTTACAGCTGTTCTATCCATTTATATGTGTAAAAGAATGTACGATGGATTTAAAAATGTGAATATGGTATTGTTTGCCAAAAGTGTCTGTGCTGAATGAGACTTCAAGGGTAGCTATTAGGGCTGTGCAAAATTTCACCGCTGTTTCATTTCAACATTGTTTTGAGCTTGAAACAGCGAAAACAAAATGAAACAGAGGGCTTCAAAACAACCTCAAAATGAAACAAGGCCAGGCAAAACATTTTGAAAGTTTCCCCTGCCTGCACCAAGCTGGATTCCCAGCAGCTTGAAGCCTGGTGGAGGCAGACAGGGTACAGCCCAGGGACTGTGCTTTGCCTCCCACTGGCTCAGCTCCCAGGGAGGTGGCAGTCTCTTGCCCACATCCCTAGGAGTGCTGTGGGGCTCTGGCAGGCTCCTGCCCGGGGTGCTGGCCCTGATCTGTCTGCCATCAGGGGAGGCTGCTCCTCCTCCAGTTTTGTGCTTCCTATTGTAGCCTGGGCGAAACGTCGAAGCAGGATTGATACTTCAAAACTGTTTTGACGAGACAAAACGGAACAGTGCTTTCAAAACGAAACTATACTCTAAACAAAACACTGTTCCATTGAAACGTCAAAACACAAGTCAAAGCACAACAGTGCTGTTTCACACAGCCCTAGTAGCTATGTTAGGACAACACCGGGCAGCATAGGTATTGGAGTAGCTTTTCTAACCAAAGACGACAGAATAGCTGGGGAATCAAGCAGTAATGCAGGAGCAGCAGGACATATGTATATATACGTGTATGTGTGCCCTGGTGTAAATATGTAAGATCCAGTGAATTTGAAGTCAATGAAGGAGAACAAACCAGACCTCAAGACAAGACTTCATAGAGCAGGGGTAGGCAACGTTTTTGGGCAGAGTGCCAAAAACACACACAAACTTGACTTGTAAGATGTTAGTGTGCTAGGGGCAGACAGTGGGGGAGTTGCGGGGGCCTGATCCTTGTTGTGGCAGTGTAGCCCCAGCCCTTTCCCCAACATCCACCCCAAGGCATACGTGCCAAGCAAAATGCTGTTGCATGTCATGCTCTGTCACCTGTGCCGGAGGTTGTCTACCCCTGTTATAGAAGGTTGTTCTGCAAATTCGGGCTAGTGAAATCTCTCTCCCAATCCTGGGAAGTGACCTACAGAGGAAAGATTTTGATTTATAGTTTCTCCTATTTACCTGAACCCTCTATTTTATGTGCCTAGCAGGGAAAACAGAATTGTACCCGTATTTTATCCATGTGTGTAAGACAGAAACTGATGTTCCCGTACCTCCTAGAAACTAAACTACATACCAACTCACCAGCCCTTCCCACCACCAGCCTATTGGGTATCATCAACCATTTTATGGCTTTTCCTTGAAGGTGCAGAAAGAAAGAGAGTGAAGAAAGAGAAATTTCATGACAGCAACTGGATTCAGAGGACTAAAATACTATGTAATCCTTAGTATCTGGGCCTTTGGCAGATATTCTGCAGGTCCCCACAATATCAGAAATGTTAATACAATTCATTATTCACCTGAAAAATTGTGCCTGCAGATATATTATTTCTTACCTGTTCATTGTTACTCTCCGTCCATTCTGGAAGTAGACACAAGACTATGTGATGTAGCTGGTCAATCCAAGTAAGAAAAAAAACAATAAAGTGGCAAAACAACTAGTCTGCAACTGGTAAACAGTCTGAAAAAAATTTGTCCAAACTATTTTGTGAGCTCTTAAGAATTATGTATATTGACATCAGTTACTGAATAATTTGTAAAGGAAAGAAACTATATTTGTGGCAAATATTATTTATAACAAATTAACTGATTGTATTACAATTTATCATTCAGGCATTTTGGTCTGTAGATAGCTGCCTTTATTGTCATGTGTAATTCAGGAAAACAAAGCAGGGAGATTATGGAAAAGAGACATTATCTTCCTAGGAATCATAACCGAGAACGTTTTTATGTTTCAATTTCTTATAGATGATCACCTCAAATATGATCACTTTTCCCCTGGCTATGACTCAAATTGGTGCAATAAGTAAAATAATAACCTGTTAATACCTATTACAGAGTGATATTAATATCAAGCTCTGATTTGTCTTCACTAATATGTTCCCAATTGTGATGTGTTTTTAACTGATCAAAATTAGTATTATTTACTGAATTGATCATCAACTATTTTTTATATTTTTATCCTATAGTATCAGCCAATTCTGACCTAAAGTAAGCAATCTATACATTATTTGTCCAAATTATTTGGTGAATAATTATTTTGCAGAAATCTGTTAGTCCCAGGACAATTTTTAAATCATTCTCTAGATTACACCATTGCTAGCTATGTTCTGCAGTTTTTACTGCATAAACGAGTTAAGTTACTAGGGTTCACACTTCTTTTTCTATTAAATAGTATTTGGGTGGAAAAAATGTACCAAGACAAGTGTTACCAATTGTTATACTTCTTATTGTAATGTTTGGGTTTTTTTCCTCTTTTATCTTAAAAATCCTCTTCCTGAAGTTAAAGAAAAAGAGAGACATTCACTGCAACAACTAAATTATGCCATGCTTGTATCCATGGTGGATCTGACCCGTTTCATTTTGAGACAAAAGAAAAACAACACAGAAGCATAGAGAATCAAGTGAGATGGAATAGTGAATATCATGTACATACCATCCTGAACTGGGAAACATAAGAGAAGTCGAAACGAGAGGAATGGAAATGAAACAATTGATATCCGGACCATTTTCCCAAATCAGCCTAGTTCTTGATCTTCGTTATGTCAATAACGTAGACAGATTGTGAAAATGAAGAGGAAGGGGAGTTATACCTAAAGAAATATGCACATCGTAGTCCTAACGTCACATCTCACACCCACAATTTCCTACATGCTTCTGTTGAAGACCAACCTGCATCTTCATCTTCAATTACATCTCACACAACTGTCAATGAGAAAAATGCTCATTTACACAAACACCACATGAGAAGATTCTGTGGTTACACCTACTAGTAAAAAAATTTCTGGTTCTGTATATGAAAATACCAACTTCCCCACCTCCAAGAAAAAGCTCCCATTTGAGCTTGGATGAGAGAACACTGCATTCTGGGTTGCTTTGGATGGCCAGCAAAATTGCAATGGGCCTCAGCTCTGGAAGCCAGTTCTTGGCTTTCCATGTGGGGCAACATGTCTCAGAAACCCTACAAAGTTGCGTGATTGAACTCTGACCCTGTTACATCTTGCCACCCATGCATACATTTTCAAGAGCAGGTTAGACAGACACTTGACTGGGCTAGTCTAGTTGGTGGTTGTTCCTGCTGTGAGCTGGGGGCTGGACTAGATGACCTTGTGAGGTCCTTTCCAGTCCTACTTTCCTATGAATCTATGGCCCACAACCAGAGGACATATAGCAAAATCTCATGGCTAGCCAAAATTCCCTTGCAAAGAGACTTTAAAATGAGGACTGCTTCCCTGGTTAGGTTCTGGGTCTCTAACAACCCTTTTAGCCTAGAGAGGAGAATCTAAACTCTCTCCTCTAGGGAAAAGAAAAAAATCTCATCACTAAAAACAGCTTTAAACTTAGGAAAAAGAACTGGAACAAGATAGTACCCCTGTGCCATTTTGGGACAAGTTAGAAGTTGGACTATTTTTCTCCAAATTTCCCTTCTTTACCGAATCATTCAGCTCCATAAACAGTGACAATATTGTGGGTGGTAGGATAGGCTGGGTACCAGGAACATCATGTCCAAGCACTGAAACAGAGGGTCAAGAGAAGGCAACACCTAGGATTTTTTTCTTCTTCCACATACCCTTTTTGTCTCTCTTCTGAGAAGTAGAGTTCTCTCTACATTCCCAGAGAGAATGATACTAGAGCATCCCCTACTGGGAAATGTTGGTAAGATTTCTCTTACTACACTTGTTTGAGATGAATCGAAACACAAATCTCATAACCTGCTCACATTATTAACATGTTTTTAAAATCATTTTAATGTATAGGTACAATAGCAGGGAAGTTAAAGTATCTGGCTACAGGTCCAGAGGTGCAAGTCCTTTCCTGAACTCATGCCAAATGCTGCCCTAGTTCACCCAGTGTGAGGGGAGAAGTGTAGTGCAGGAAGGAAACTCTGAAAACTGAAATCAATAAATACTCACCGCAGATGTGAGGGAAAGCCCAGCTGGGCAAGGGAGAGTCTGACAGCGGTTCTGCAATCAGTATCCCCTCTGGATTGGTGGCAGAAGCTCTGAGCCAGCTACTTCCAGCCCTGGGGACAGGCAGCCAGGAACAGACCTCTGTGTCCCAGAGAGGGAAATGCAGGGGGCTCTCCCATCCATGGTGACCCACAGCAAGATGCAGGAAACTAGAGTGTGACATTTGGCAGGAGGGGACAGGGGACCACTGTAAAAAACATGGGAGCACAGATCCAAGGAGCCAGATTTCTGCAACCCAACAGGGGCTTAAGCAGCAGGGACTAAAGCAGGAGATGACACCAACAAGCTGTTATGCTGGCTAGGTAACAAGGAGCCTGGATCTCTAAAGCAAAAAGCAGGACTCTCAACTGCATAGGCAGGGAAGGTCAGAACTGTGGGTGAGCCTGCTAAATTGATTATCGCAGTTTGAAGTTAAGAAATGTTAACAGGATGGGGGATCCTGATTGTAGAAATCCAATTTGCTCCCAGTGAGGCAGGCAAGATTGGTTGAAATTGATTCAAGAACAGGGATGGTTTTCCCCTGCAGGAGTTTCCCTGTAATTGAGGGCATCAGACTTTTCCCTATGAAGTAATTATGCCCAGGCTCACCACAAGGTTATAGGGGCTTATTTATGGAACTATGAATTCATTTTAATTGACTGACTTAATGAACTGATTAAGGTTGATTGAGTTAAGTACTTTCTATGAATGATGAGTTGATCTGAATTTATTAAGCTGTGGATGCTTTGTGAAGTAATTTGGGTGGAGTTTATCTCCTGAGTGCAGCCCAGTAGATGGGCACAGAGTTTAATGTCTTCACATTTGTTTGCATAATCTAGTGAGGGATGACTACACATGCCATCATGCCAATAACATACAACAGGTTATTCTTCACAGCGTCATATACAATTATGCAACATGAAGACCCAGACATATAACATCCGGGATGTGGTAAAGGTGGGATGTAAGGAGAGGTGGAGCTCCATGAAGGAGTTCTCCAAGGGCCAAGACCCCATCAGCTGACATAACCAGCTCCCAACATTTGAAAGATACAAAGGCATGGCAAGCGAGGGCATAACACTGGAGATTGATGATAGTGTTGACTTCACACTGAAAATGTACTCTGGTAGGACATCGGGCAGGACAGGGCCAAGGCAATATTGTGCATACCCCACAACACCCAGCTATAAATGGATATCTGGTCATTTGGGAAGGCAAGGGCAACTCAATGTGATGCTAGCCACATTACTCCCTTGTCTGTCATTGGCTACAGAAACTGGCCTTACTGACATTCATAGATTCATAGATGTTAGGGTCGGAAGGGACCTCAATAGATCATCGAGTCCGACCCCCTGCATAGGCAGGAA